GTAGTAGTAGTAGTAGTAGTAATAGTAGTAGTAGTAGTAGTAGTAGTAGTAGTAGTAGTAGTAGTAGTAGTAGTAGTAGTCGTAGTAGTAGTAGTAGTAGTAGTAGTAGTAGTAGTAGTAGTAGTAGTAGTCGCAGTAGTAGTAGTAGGAGTAATAGTAGTAGTAGTCGTAATAGTAGTAGTAGTAGGAGTCGCAGTGGTAGTATTAGTAATCGTAGTCGTCGTCGTAGTTGTCGTAGTAATAGTCGTCGTATCCGTTATAGTAGTAGTAGTAGTCGTCGTAGTAGTAGTAGTAGTAGTAGTAGTAGTAGTAGTCGTAGTAGTAGTAGTGGTAGTAGTCGCAGCAGCACCAGCAACAGCAGCAGCAGCAGCAGTAAAAGTAATAGTAGTAGCAGCAGCAGCAGCAGTAGTAGTGGTGGTAGTAGTATTAAACATAATAGCAGTAGTAGTTGTAGTAATGGTAGTAGCCGTAGTAATAGTAGTACTAGAAGTAGTAGTAATAGTCGTAGTAGTAGTAGTGGTAGTAGTAGTAGTAGTAGTAGTAGTAGTAGTAGTAGCGGTGGTAGTGGTAGTTGTAGTAGTAGTCGTAGTATTAGTCGTAGTAGTAGTAGTAGTAGTAGTAGTAGTAGTAGTAGTAGTAGCAGTAGTAGTAGTAGTAGTAGCAGTACTACTAAGAGTAGTAGTAGTAGTGGTAGTACTCGTAGTAGTAGTAGTAGTAGTAGTAGTAGTAGTAGGAGTAGTAGGAGGAGTAGTAGTAGTAGTAGTAGTAGTAGTGGTAGTAGCGGTAATAGTAGTAATAGTAGTAATAATAATACGTAGTAGTAGTAGTAGTAGTAGTAGTAGTAGTAGTAGTAGTGGTGGTAGTAGTAGTAGTAGTAGTACTAGTAGTAGTAGTAGTAGTCGTCGTACTCGTACTCGTAGTAGTAGTCGTAGTAGTAGTAGTAGTAGTAGTAGTAGTAGTAGTAGTAGTAGTAGTCGTAGTAGTAGTAGTAGTAGTAGTAGTAGTAGTAGTAGTAGTAGTAGTAGTAGTAGTAGTAGTAGTAGTAGTAGTAGTAGTAGCGTCGTAGTAGCCGTAATCATAATAATGTAATTCGCGGCCCACCGGGCCACAGGCGTGCAAACATCTCCGGCAACTGGTTAACAATATATTCTAGTTCGCGCGCGCGGGGCGGCTTCTGGACGAGAAGTACCCCGAGCGGGTCCCGGCCAGTGCGGTTCAGAGATGGTGTTCCTCCTCGGCGCTGCCTTCCAGGCCTCCCAGAGCGCTCCAGGAACGCGCCAAGAAGGCTCCGAGACGCCCCCAAGACGGTCCAAGGGGCCTAGAGTCGCCGAAAGATTGCTCCAAGACGCCCCTGCTGGTCTCCAGACGGCCCTAGACGCCGCCGTGAAGCCCCAAGAGAGCCTCAGAAGGCCCTCCAAGAGGGCCCGAACAAGCAAAAAACGCTTCATCTCCGCAGGAAAAAGTCAATGTCTGGCATCGACGACGTTCGGAGGTTCACAGCGTCCAAGACTGCCCAAGAGACCCTCAAGATCGCCCCAAGATGGCCCAGCATGCCCCCAAGATGCGCCCAAGAGGCCCAAGAGGGCTCCAAGACGACGACGGTGGGCGCGAAATCCTCGTCGACCGTGGTTCGTTCTCTAGGAATGATAAACCTAGGTCCGTTATGTTCAGATGATACCCCCATTGGATTATTGGCCAGTGGATGGATCGCCCCCCCCCCCCTCCCCGGATCATTTACATTCGGGAATAATGCATTTGGGGTCGATATGCCGACATAATGCACCAGGGTTAATTCCAATCAGATATCCTTGTCAGGCGCCGCCCCCCTCCGCCGGACCACTATCATTCAGGAATAAAAAACCTGATTTTTTTTTAAAAAATTCCCAGAGCATTGCAAACCTCAGTTTATGATGTCCTAGAGACCACGGGCGATGGTCAATATTCTAACATAGCGAACCTCAATTTAGAGGCGCGGGGTTCGAGAAAAAATAATAATCATCCCAGAATTACGAATCCGGATTCAGAATATCCGCCTATGGCTCAGGCGACGCCTTTCAGACTCCACTATTATCATTCCAGTATAATAGACTGGGGTTCGTTATTCCCGAAACATTTTAAACCCCAGTCAACATCCCCAGAACATTATGACACCAAAATTTAATGTTCTGGGGAGAATATTATGACCCCCGGTCAACATGTCCCGGAACATTACAACAACAGGTTCATAATGTTCCAGGGGGGGACATTATGAACCCTGGCCAATAATCCCGGAACATTTTAAACCCACGACCCAAGAGGGCTGCCTTCAAGGCCTCCCAGAGCGCTCCAGGAACGCGCCAAGAAGGCTCGGAGACGCCCCCGAGACGGTCCAAGGGGCCCCGAATCACCGATAGATTGCTCCAAGACGCCCATGATGGTTTCCAGGCGGCCCTAGACGCCGCCGTGAAGCCCGAAGAGAGCCTCAAAAGGCCCTCACAGAGGGCCCAGCAACACTCGTCTCATTTCCTCCAGAAAACGTACGTTTATGAAATAGACGACGCTCGGAGGTTCACAGCGTCCAAGGCTGCCCAAGATCCCCCCAAGATCGCCCCAAGACGGCCCACCATGCCCCAAAGATGCGCCCAAGATGGCTCCAAGACGAACCAAAAGGGCTGCCCTCCAGGCCTCCCAGAGCGCTCTAATAACGCGCCAAGAAGGCTTCGAGACGCTCCCGAGACGGTCCAAGGGGCCCCGAGTCGCCGAATGATTGCTCCAATACGCCCATGATGGTCCCCAAACGGCCCTAGAACCCGCCGGGAAACCCCAAGAGAGCGTCAAGAAGCCCTCCAAGAGTGCCCCAACAAGCAAACACCATGTCATTTCCCCAGGAAGACGTACATGTCTGGCATAGACGACGTTCGGAGGTTCACAGCGTCCAAGGCTGCCCAAGAGCCCCCCAAGATCGCCCCAAAATGGCCCAACATGCCCCCAATTTGCGCCCAAGAGAGCCCAAGAGGGCTCCAAGACGGCCCAACAGGGTTTCAAGACGGCCCAAGACGACCCCAGAGAGGTAACTCGACATGACATTTGAAGCTTCCGACCTCAGGGGCCCCTCCGAGACCGCCAGCAGGCTCCCAAGAAGCATCCAGAAATCCCAAGAAGCCCCCGAGAGGCCCAACATCAGGCCCCCAGGGCACCCAAACGGCCCTGACGAGGCCTCAAGAAACCTCAAAACTGCCTCTCAAAGGTTTCCGCGACACCTGCCAGAAGACCCCAACACCGCCGCATCAAATGTCCCCTGCGCCCCATCGGCAAGCCCCAGAGTGAGCATACACGACCAGCAAACCCCCACGAAGGCACCCGAAGTCCAACAAAGCACCACACAACAAACCGCCCCGCGAAAAGCGACCGATTCCCCTGACAACTCCCAGGAAATAGCGAATCTCCCCAGCATCATGCTCCACGCAACGCCTCAGAAAACAGCCGACGCCCCTGCAGCTCAACACTGGCAACGATCACTCGGCCAGTCGACGCAGCAATGCCCAAAAATGGGCCGGCTGAATGAGCGAAGCGATTTACTCTTAGTAGTCGCTGTCGTAGTAATAGTAGTAGTAGTAGTAGTAGTAGTAGTAGTAGTAGTAGTCGTCGTCGTCGTCGTCGTCGTCGTCGTCGTCGTCGTCGTCGTCGTCGTCGTCGTCGTCGTAGTAGTAGTAGTAGTAGTAGTAGTAGTAGTAGTAGTAGTAGTAGTAGTAGTCGTAGTAGTAGTCGTAGTAGTAGTAGTAGTAGTAGTAGTAGTAGTAGTCGTCGTCGTCGTCGTCGTCGTCGTCGTCGTCGTCGTCGTCGTCGTCGTCGTCGTCGTCGTCGTCGTCGTCGTCGTAGTAGTAGCCGTAGTAGTCGTAGTCGTCGTAGTAGTAGTAGTAGTAGTAGTAGTAGTAGTAGTAGTAGTAGTAGTAGTAGTAGTAGTAGTAGTAGTAGTAGTAGTAGTAGTAGTAGTAGTAGTAGTAGTAGTAGTATTAGTAGTAGTAGTAGTAGTAGTCGTAGTCGTAGCAGTAGTAGTAGCAGCAGCAGCAGCAGTAGTAGTAGTAGTAGCAGCAGCAGCAGCAGGAGTAGTAGTAGTAGTAGTAGAAGTAGTAGAAGTAGTAGTAGTAGTAGTAGTAGTAGTAGTAGTAGTAGTAGTAGTAGTAGTAGTAGTAGTAGTAGTAGTAGTAGTAGTCGTAGTCGTGATCGTAGTCGACGTCGTCGTCGTCGTAGTTGTTTGTCGCAGTGGCAGCAATAGCAATACGGGTGCCTTTGAGAGGCGCCGACGCATGCGAACATCGCCACTTGGGCCTTCGGTTGGGCTCTTTATGGGGCCACGCCTCGTGTGAAGGGGTGTGCCCAAATTCGGCCGATAAGAGAATGAAAAGGATGATAGTGATGATGATGATGGTGTTGATGCTGGTAACATGCTGGTAACGATGGTCATTCTGATACTCATGGAAAGCTTGTAGATACGATTGGTACTTGCCTTGGTGATAATGAAGTTCGGCTTCGCCGCCACCCACCGAAGCACAACAGTGATCGCGGCTGGGACAATCATGACAAAGGGGGGAAGGGGAGTAGGCCTTTATTATCGTGGGCATAAGTTCAGTGCAAGCAGTGCTCGGGGAGAAAGCCCCATACTCTGAGGGCGCAGGAGCGCCACCATCACAGCGATTGCCTTCCACCCCTCCTGCTGGCAAAGGCAACGGTTGGCAGGTCTCTCTGCACTCGCCTCACTCAGGCGACTCAGGCCGCCCACTGTCAGCGCCACGACTGCAAGCACGATGTCCTCATCCTTCTCCCTCCGGGTTCGCTGTCCTCCTCCTGGTCCTCCTCCTCCTCCTCCTCCTCCTCCTCCTCCTCCTCCATCCTCCTCCTCCTCCTGCTCCCCCTCCTTCCTTCTCCTCCTCCTCCTCCTGCTCCCTCCTCCTCCTCCTCCTCCTCCTCCTCCTTATCCTCCTCCTCTCCCTCCTCCACCCCACGCCCCTGCTCCAGGTTGCCTCGGCCAGCGGCGCCGAACCCTGACTCTGCTGGACCGCGGGCGCCGCCGCGGCGGCGGCTTGGGCCTTCCATGGTGTGTGTGTGTGGTGTGTGTGTGTGGGGGGGGCAACGGGGGGCGGCGGGGCGCGGCGCAGTACTCCCCTCCACTCCTGTTGCGCCATCCTCGAGCTCCACCTTCCCTTTCCTCTCCAGGTCAATTCTCCTCATCCTAACGTTTCTTCCTGCTCCGTCCTCGTGCTCCTTCCTTATTCCCTTCTCCTCCTCCTCCTCCTCCTCCTCCTCCTCCTCCTCCTCCTACCCCTGCTCCTCCTCTTCTCCTCTTCCCCCTACTCCTCCTCCTCCTCCTCCTCCTCCTCATTCTGTCCTCCCTCCCTCCTTCCTCACCTCCCTTCATCCCTCTCGTCTCCCACCCTGCTCCCCGTCCCTTTTCATCCCCTTCATCGCTCCTCCTCGTCCTCTGCTTCTTCCTCGCCATCCTCCTCCCTCCTCCCTCCTCCTCCTCCTCCTCCTCCTCCTCCTCCTCCTCCTCCTCCTCCTCCTCCTCCCCTCCCCCTCCTCCTCCTCCTCCTCCTCCTCCTCCTCCTCCTCCTTGTCATGATCGTCCTCCCTCCTCATAACCTCGCCGCCTGCTCCTCCTCTCCCTGCTCGGTTCTCGGCTCCCGGTTTTTCTTCCCTCCTCGTCTGCGACGCTCGAGCGCGCCCTGACCGGGAAAGCGCAGGAGCGCCGCGCCTGGCAAGGGCACCGGCGCGAGTCTGGCATCCGCCAGCAGCTGCCAGGCGCGCAGCGCCGCCCGCCACAGCGCACTGCAGGGCCTCCATGCGCAAAACTTCGCTCCGCGGGCTGGTGGTGGCTGCAGGCCCAGCACCGGGTGGCCAGCCAGATACGCACGCGCAAGTTCAGCCGAACACTTCTTCGTCGGCGGCGGAGCAGAGGCAGCCCGCACCAGCGGGAGGCGAATCGGGGCAACCGCAAGGCGAAGTGCCCGGCGTGCAAGAGGAAGGAACAGAAGACTAGGGCGGCCGCGCGAGAAGAGGACGTTCAAGCGAACACTCAGGGTCTGCAGCGGGCCCGTCCTCCGCCGCGACCGCGAGCAGCGATCCTATCTGCCGCGTGTGCAGAAACGAAGACGAAGCCCATGTCGTCGTCAACGGAGGCTCCCACTGTAATCCAGACGCCGTCGGGGCCCATGGCCACCACGGTGCTAGGAGTCTCGCAATTAGTTAGGTGACCCTGTCCTCGACCGCGCGCCTGATCAGCTGCGAGTTGCTGCTTCCGTCAACCAGATATGCGCCGTCATGGTAGCAGCGGCTGGCAACAGCTGTGGGGGAGGGTGGGGAGGGGGGGAGCACGAATGTCAAGCTGACCATCATCAGGTGCGCAGCACTGCTCTGCGAACGTGATTACCCCGAAACCAACCCAGGAGCCCAGACAGCAGAGGAACGGCGAGAGCAGGAGAGAGGGAGACGGGAGGGGCAGGAGTCTCATCCTCCTCCTGCTTCTCCTCCTCCTCCTCCTCCTCCTCTTGCCTCCTCCCCTCCCGCCTCCTCCGGCCTGCTCCCCAACCTCTCAACCCTCCTCCTCCCCGCCCTCCTTCTTCCCGCGGCGGGGGGGGGCCACCCTCGACGGCGCGCTCAGCGGCGGCAGCTGCTGCGGAGCCTGGAGGAGGAGGAGGAGGAGGAGGAGGAGGAGGAGGAGGAGGAGGAGGAGGATCGGCGACTACAATGGGTGCGGTTTGCGAAGGGTGCGGTTCGCCTCCCGTCCTATCTGCCCCTCCCGCCCCCGGGAAACGGATGACACTGTCACCCAATGCGACCGAATCACATGACACTGTCGCTCCTTCTACCACAGTGGAACACACATCGAGGATGACAGTGTCGCTCGAAACGACGACAAATATGACATTGTCTCTCACAAAGGCCCCGGAAAGGCCGTCACAAAGCAACTCGCAAACCGCACCCCGGCGTAACCGCACCGACTGTGGTCGCCGAGAGGAGGAGGAGGAGGCCTCCGGAGTCTGCCGGCCGAGCCAACCGCCCCCCCCTTGGCGGGCGGGGCCCTCGGCTCAGCGGGTCGAGGCGGCGGCCCCGACGACGGGCGCCCCACCGGCTGATGCCCTGCCGCTCCGCTCCGCGGGGAGGGCTGGGAAGGGCTCGGGGCGGTGACGCTTGGGCACCAGGACGTGCTCCACGAGCCTCGGCGAAGCGCGGCGGGCCAGAGCCCGCGGCGCGACACACGCTGAGCAGGAGTTCCTGGCCGCAGGTCGCGGCCCTCTGGAGGAGGATGGATCGCTGGCCAAACTGCCCGGTCTACGAGCGGGCCACAAGTCGACGAGCCCCCTCGAGAGCTGAACTTGGAGCTGCCGGTGGGTGGCCCATTCGGCTGGTGGGAGCAAGCCCCGACCCCCCCCCCACTCGTAACCCTTGGAGGGGGATGGGGAAAGGACAGGAGAATCAGATGAGAGCGGATGGGGCCCTGGGTGAGGTGAGAAGATCCACAACGCTTCGGCGAGGCATTCCCGTCACCGTTTCTTCCTCCTGTACGTTATGTTCCTCCTCCTCCTCCTCCTCCTCCTCCTCCCTTTCCTCCTCCTCCTTTTCCCCCTCCTCCCTTTCCTCCTCCTCCTCCTCCTCCTCCTTCTCCTCCTCTCTTCCTCCTCCTCCTCCTCCTCCTCCTCCTTCTCCTCCTCCTTCTCCTCTTCAAACTCCCCCCCCCAGGATATGTTCATTATCGCCTTCTCTTTGTTATCCTCGTTAATGTCCTGCCCTTCCTGCTATCTGAATCGATGGGAGGCGGGGGTAGAGTTCGGATTTCGACACGTGTTCGACGGAATCCGCACCTCCATCGAGTTGCCTGAATCGTTGGTCGGCGAGGGTAAGGTTTGAACGTCGTCACCGACCGATGTCTTGATCTCTCAGAATGGGCCCCCCCCGGAAGTCCCGACCGACCCTCTCCCCGAGGCCGGTTTTTCGTCCTGAGCAGCTTTTGACGGTCCCGGGGCCTGGCGAGGGCCCCCGGAGGCCGCAGGCGGCCAACAAAATTGCCCTCGTTCTTTTTGAAGGGGCCCAAGGACACACAAATAAATACACACAAAGAAAAGGATTCCCCATATTTCCCATAATTTCTGGGTTTCTGTCTTCCCGCCCACTTCCCATATTTCCTCATATTTTCCTGGGGATCGACGACTAACTCTGTCTGTGCGTTTTTTCCCCTCCTGACTGTTGTGTCAGAGCGTGACCATGTGGCCTGCGGCGCGCGAAACGCAGGAAAGGTGTGGTGCTGCGGCTGCCGGCCGTCGGATCGCGCACCACGTCCTGGCGCTGAGATCGCAGTCGCTGGTCAACGAAGGCGGAAAATGACTTTCACGCGGCATCCGGTCTGGGCATGATGATGCACCGTGGAAGCGGCGGCTCCAGATGCCCAAAGCAATTAAGGCGGCTGAAGAGGTGAACGAGTGCGGGCGGCTCCAGATGCCCAAAGCCCTCCCCACCCGAAGCGGCCGAAGCAGCGCGACCCCCACAGCAAGTCAGCGAGGAAGAAGAAGAAAAAGAAGAATGCACGTGAGGCACGACGAGACCAACGAGCCCAAAATGCCAGTTCGACAACCGGACCCACCCAGCGCATTGGAGACGGATCCAATGCGATGTGAGGCGTTGGGGCAGAGCGGCTGGACCCTCTACCCTTCAGGCTCGGGAACATCAATCAGGACGTGGTCGCCGACAGGCGCGATAAACTCGGCTGGCACGCACTGCTCACCCCAGCGTCAGGAGGGGGAGAAGGGTACCGACCAGCTCGGCCCCTCGGTCTAGACATCGGACATCGTCGCAGGAGGCGCTGGCAGCACCACCTGCGCCAGGCATCGATCCCGTCAACGACTTGGACGAAGAGATGGACATCACCGGAGATTGGCAGTCTGGATCTACTTTCTACTTCTACGTCTCGCGCAGAGGAGGGGGTGTGCGTTGACAGAAAAAGAGACGCCCACCACAATCGTCAGGATCATTTGGTGCGAGATGCCCTATCTAGCCGGGCGAGCAGCCTCCAGATGCCCAACTGCGAGGCCGACAACCTTCAGGAGAGCTGCGAGAACCACCATTCTCACAGGGCGAGGTGCGATGCCGAGGAGACCTCCTTGCATGATGCGAATTCCGCTGCGGCGAACCCGACCGACGCGGGCATGGAAGCTCAAAGGGCATCTGGTTGTTCGTTGACCCAGAGAATCTTATCTGGGGGAGCGAAAGCGAGGGATAGCAAAGGGTAGGGTAGAGAATCAGTTCACGTGGCTGATTTACCCAGCGCCTCCCGTCGCCAGGAGGCGCCCATGTATCGAGGAATGGGCCTGGCGGAGGGGCCGAAACCAGCTGCATGCAGCAGATGTCGTAACCCCCCTTCCCCTATCCCCCCCTTTCGTTCGGCCCTAGCACAAGCCTTGGGAGTGTACACCTTGACCATGGACAGCACCTGGGATGTTGCGGAACATGTGCATAGCATGGGCGACGGCCACGCAGCTCCCACGTACATCAGAAAGAGCACGGCGTACCAGAAGACCTAGATGGCGCAGAGAGGTCGGGGCGATTTTAACATCGCTTCATCGACACCCTGGAGCGCTGCTGCTGCATGGCGTACGGCGTCGAAATTGGCAGATCGCCCCGCGTTCTGTGGTCGAGGACACCCATGCGAATTCAAGACGACGCAGTTGACCGACTCGGGAGATAGACGAGCACGACATGAGTCGCATAGACGCATCGATCAGACTGGTGGAGCCGAGCCGACACGGCGCTCGCTACGACGGTCAAGCTTCGGGAACGAGGACGTGGACTACAGCGACAGGCTGACCTTGCCAGAGTGGGGCGTCGACTCGCTCGAGAAGGTCTTCCTCCAGCTGGGCGATGCGCTTCGACCATGGCGAAGCTACACCGGCAACTCTGGAAAGACAGGCCCGAACTGCTGGAATACATGCGCCTGGACAGGCTGCCGGGCATGGCCATCCAGGCCGAGCAGGAGAAGTACTTCACGCTTCGACGATATCTACATGACAGTAGCAGGCAGTACTGAACATGGCTCACCCAGGCGGACAAGCAGATCGAGGTGCTACACAGGATTGCGAAGCCACCTCAGAGACGCGAGCAAGAGATCAACATCGACGGCGCGACGCTCTGTAGCTACGTTCATATGGTCGACGGGAAGGCCAGAGCCTTCAAAGAGGTATGGGCTTGCAGCGACGTCCCGCACAACCCACACGCAGTGCCTCGCTGCGCTGCGGGCCAAGGCGCAAGGAGGAGGATAACCACGACCCCTGGAGCCTGGATGACCTCGGCAAGTGCTTGAAGGGCGAACCCGACAAGGGCAAGGGAACGGACGTGATCTGCACGAGCGACATCAGACGGTTGCCCGCTTTTGGGCGACAGGCGCTCCTCAACCTCTTCAACGAGTGCGAGGCGCACCTGACCTGGGCGCGGCAACTACTCCTGCCGGTCAATCTCAACTGGTTCGAGGAGGAGGAGGAGGAAGAGGAGGGGCGGACCGCAGGGTCGCTGCTCCAGACACACGGCCCCACGCGCGTCAGCCAGCCGCGCGTGGAGAAGGCGTGGACCTCGGGGTCGCGACCACTCACTGTCGGCTCCGCGCGCCTGGCCCCGTCGCGCGCGGAGATGGGGCGGATCTCAGGGTCGCGGCCCCAGATCCGCTGCTCCACGCGCCTCCGCAAGATGGAAGGGGAGCTGGGACACACAAATAAACAGACACAGATAACCAGCCTCCCCCTATTTTCCAATGTTTTTTCTGGGTTCTGGCCTTCCCCTCCACTTCCCATATCTTCCCACACTCCCTGGGGAATCGACGATTGAGTTGTGTCTGTGTGTTTCTTTCCCTCCCGAAAGGTGCGCGTGGAGGAGGAGGAGGAGGAGGAGGAGGAGGAGGAGGAGGAGGAGGAGGAGGAGGAGGAGGAGGACTTTCCCTCCCGAAAGGTGCGCGCGGAGAGGGGCGCGGCCCTCCGGGGCGCGGCCCCGCGCCGCGCGCCATCCACCCGAGATCCTCACATCCACCCTCGGCACCTCCTCATCCTCGTCCTCGTCCAGATATCCTCGTCGTCCTGTCCTGCTCCTCCAGACTTGATCACCCCCGTCCTCCTCCCCATCATCCTGATTCTTATCATATTTCCTCCTCCTCCTCCTCCTCCTCCCCCTTCTCCTCCTCCTCCTCCTCCTCCTCCTTCTCCTCCTCCTCCTGGTAACATCATCTCCTCCTCCTCCTCCTCCTCCTCCACCTCCTCCTCCTCCTCCACATGACACCCCCATCTCCTTCTTATCATTATTCTGCTCCTCCTGCTCTTCCTCCTCCTGATCTCCTCCTCTCCCTCCTCCACCGCCCGCGTCCCCTCCCAGCCAGCTGCGCGCTCGGCGCTCGCCCGGGCAAGCGTACGCTTCGTCGGCGCCCCAGGCCGCCTTCGCTGGCGGTGCCGGGCTCGCAGCGGCAGGTGCCTCCGAAGCGGCGGCGGCCGAGGCCTGCCGTAGAGCCCGGGGCGGATGGCGCCGCGGTTGGGAACTGTTGCTTAGCGTGTCGCGGCGGCGGCCCCGGCGACACGCTGTGCCTTGCGAGATGATGACGTGTCGCTCAGCTCCGCGGGGCAGGAAGTCGGGAAACAAATCGAGACGAAGACGCCTGGGACGCGTAAACTGATAGCGTGCCGCGCCGAAGCGTGGTGGGTCAGAGACAGTGGAGCGACACGCTGACCGAAAGTCCCCGACAGTACGTTGTCAAGGGGGGGGATGCTCATCTCGCCTGATCCCTCCTCCTCCCCCTCCTCCTCCCCCTCCTCCTCCTCCTCCTCCTCCTCCTCCTCCTCCTTCTCCTCCTCCCCACTCCTCCTCCTGTTCCTGCTTCTCCTCCTCCTCCTTCTCCCCTCCTCCTCCTCCTCCTCCTCCTCCTCCTCCTCCTCCTCCTCCTCCTCCTCCTCCTCCTCCTCCTCCTCCCCACCTCCTCCGCCCGCTCCCTTCTCATTCCACGCCGTAACCGTCACGAACGTCAACGTATGGGGTGGGGGAGCCCCTGTGCCTCATCCGACTCAATCCCACCAGCACTGAAGGGCGTGAGTGGTTTAGGGCATTTCCTCTTCCAATCCCCCTTCTTCCCCTTCGAGAAGGGTTGACCCCTCCTCTACCCCCTGACTCCCTCCCCCCAGACCTGGGCGCCCCAAGAAGTGTCAGAGCGTTCCGGATGGCCTCGGCGAAAAGGCCAACATCATTGATGCTACTATGGCTTGGGCCGCATGTTGGCCCCTTGGGGTGGGGGGCGCGAACTGCCTTTCTGCTCGCCCTCCTCCTTCTCCTCCTCCCTCGTTCCTCCTTCCTTCTTCCTCCTCTCTCCTTCCTCCCTCCCCCCTCCTCCCCCTCCTCCTCCTCCGATTACTCCTCCATCCTCCCCCATCTTGCGCTGTGGCGGCTTCCGCAGCCCTTTAATTCACTCCTCCTCCTCCTCCTCCTCCTCCTCCTCATCCTCCTCCTCTTGCGATTCGCATCACGTGACGGATCCAAGTCGCCGACCTGGGTGGCCGAAGACGGCGGAAGACCTCCCGCCCTGATCCTGCGCACAGCCTCAGGGGGTCCAGGCTCCCAAATCCCCGACGTCATGATTTTTCACGGCGCGGACCCCTGGAGGCCTGGACCCGTTCCCAGGACCGGAGCTTCATCCCGAATTGTGTCTTGACGGCCCAGGGCCCGGGGAGGGCGAAGATCGAAAACAGCAGCACAAACTCCAGCATGACTTCCTCACGGCGCAATGCCCTAGCTGAACAACAAAACACGACCCGAAAGTCTAGCCTTAGGAGAACGTCCTTGTTCCCTTCGAAGCCAAGTGCATCGTCGGGAACTTCTGCTTAGCGTGTCGTGACGGCGGCCCCGGCGGCACGCGATGTGCTGCGAGCGGGTAGCGTGTAGCTCAGGTCTCTGGTCTGCGGGGCGGAAGGCTGGGAACAGCTCCAGACGTTGACGCTTGGGAGCGGGAACGTGGATAGCGTGTCGCGCCGAAGCGTGGTGGGCCAAATTCTGCGAGGCGACACGCTGAGCCAAAGCTCCTGACCGCAATTTGGAGGGTGTGGAGGTGAAAGAAGTGTGGGGGTGCCAAGGAAGAATCATTTACCCGAGATGTGCGAAGCCGCTTCTCCACGCGAGGCGATTATTTATATGAGCGTTCCATTCGAAAGAACACACTGCGAGATATGCTCGATCTGCGTGGCCCTGCCACGGCGGCATCCCAGGAGCCCACGAAAGTGCTGACAGTTGCGCACTTCGTAGCCCTCAACAGGACGCCAAAGATGCAGGAGGAGGCAGGCGGAGGAGGGGGTGGGGAGGCAGCGCGAGCAGTGCTCTGTCCAAACGAAGAACACGACCAGGGCTGCGAAAAAAAGAAACACCAAATGGCGAGCCAGTCCTCAGGCAGGCCAGTGATCACAGCGCGGCAGGCCGCCTTCGCGCTGGCGTCTGCGGCGGCGGCCTTGGGCGGCGGCTTCTCCCCGCGCGCCACCGTGGACAGGGTGACCTCCTCCTCCTCCTCCTCCTCCTCCTCCCTCCTCCTCATCTTCATCTTCCTCCTCCTCCTCCTCCTCCTCCTTCTCCTCCTCCTCCTCCTCAGTTTCCTCACTTCTCCTCCTCCTCCAACTCCTCCTCCTTCTTCTCCTCCTCCTCCTGCTCCTCCACTTTCCTCGTACATAACTTCTCCCTGTCGCACCCCGAGGCCGATTTTTAGGGCGGGCCGGGCGTTTCGTCCGAGACGTCCTCACCATTTATGACTCTGAAGCTAAAACATTGGCAACAGCTTCACAGATGGAGGGCGGGTGGTTTTCAAAATGTGGCTCTCGCCTTAGCGCGGCGCACATTCGTTTCAAAGAAAATTACAAGAGCTTAACGGATTGAGGGCGGGTCGTTTTCAAAATGCCGCTCTCGCCTTAGCGCGGGGCACATTCGTTTTCAATATGTGCTAGAGCTTCACGGATTGAGGGCGGGTCGTTTTCAAAATGTGGCTCTCGCCTTAGCGCGGCGCACATTATGTTTGCAAGAGTTTCACGGATTGAGGGCGAGTGGCATTCGAAATGTGGCTCTCGCCTTAGCGCGGCGCGCATTCGCTTTTAAACAACTGCAGAAGTTTCACGGATTGAGTGCGGCTCCTTTTCAAAATGTGGCTTTCGCCTTAGCGCGGCGCACATTCGTCGTAAACATTTGCAAGAGTTTCACGGGTTCCCATCATTAACGTACCAGACATGGTGTTTTGGACGGGTTCTGGATTTTGCGGGTGCAACAGTTAGGTTGATTCTCTGTGTTGAAGTCCTCGGAATGGCGTTCTGGGACGATTCAGGAGCGTCAAGACGCAACAATCAGCTTGATCCGTGGCGTTGGAATCCCGAGAACAATGTTTTGGTATACTTCTGGGTCTTCAAACAGGTGTCTTCCAACGAGGAAGTTCCCCCAATGGAAATGAACCGTTGTAAGGGCCTATGAAGGGGGAGCTTGGATGGAGGGTTCACTCCAACATCGTTGATGACTTTGAGGTTTGCACTGGTCCTCCTCCTCCTCCTCCTCCTCCTCCTGCTACTCCTCCTCCTTCTCCAACTCCTCTCTTCTTCCTCCTCCTCCTCCACCTCCTCCTCCTCATCCTTCTCCTCCTCCTCCTCCTCTTCATCCTCCTCATTCTCATCCTCATCCTCATCCTCATCCTCATCGGAATCATCATCATCATCATCATCATCATCATCATGATCATCATCATCATCATGATCATCATCATCATCATCATCATCATCATCATCATCATGTTCATGTCGTCGTCAACATCATCATCATCATCCTCATCATCATCCTCATCATCATCATCAGCATCCTCGTTATCATCAGCAGCATCATTCTCAGCATCATATTCAGCATGAGCAGCATCATCATTATCATCACCATCAGCATCACCATCATTGCCATCGTCACCATGATCAACAGCATCATCCGAATCACCAGCGCCATCAACTTCATCAGCCCAGCAGCATTATCGCTATCAGCATCGCTATCATAATCGTCATCGTTAACCTTGTCGTCGTCATTTTCATCAAAATCAACACCATTATTATCATCCTCATCCGCATCCGCATCATCATCATCATCATCATCATCATCATCATCATCATCATCATCATCGTCATCATCATCATCATCATCAGTATCCTGACTATGATCCTCTTCTCCGCCTCCGCCTCCGTCCCCTCCTCCTCCTCCTCCTCCTCCTCCTCCTCCTCCTCCTCTCCCTCCGCATTGTCATCATCATTATCATCATCAGAATCATCATCATCATCATCAGCCGCATCATCAGCATCACCATTACCCGCATCGTCAGCACCAGCATCATCATCATCATCATCATCAGCATCAGCATCATCACCATCAACATCATCATCATCAGTATCATGATCATCATGAGCATTATCATCATCAGTATCATCAGTATCAGCATCATCATCATTAGCATTATCATCATCACGGTCAGCATCATCATCATCAGCAGCATCATCATATTAGCATCATCATCATCCTTCTCCTCCTCCATCTCCTTTCCTCCCCTTCCTCATCATCATCATCATCAGGATTTTCATCCGAATCACCACCGCCATCATCTCCATTGTCCCAGCATCATCATCGCTATCATTATCGTCATTGTCAACGTCGTCGTCATTGTCATCATTATCCTCATTATTATCCTCCTCCTCCTCCACCTCCGCCTCCGTCCCCTCCTCACCATCATGATCATGATGATGATCACCATCATCACTATCATCATCATCCTCCTCCTCCTCATCATCATCAGCATTAGCATCAGCATCATCATCGTCATCCTCGTCCTCAGACGATGCCCCCAGCGAAGCGCCACCATGCTGTTGAAGAGGACTAGTAGAAGGCCTGCTTTTCGGCCACACGCGGGTGGCGGTGATTCGCCGGAGACGTCTGCGATGATATGGCGTCCCGCCAAGAATACTAAGACTGCACCTCCAGACTCAGGAGCAGAATGAGCGGCGCGAATACAATTGCAAGTGCAGCGGGGGATAGGACTAAGAAGCGCTGAATCCAAGATGCCCACAGCCAGACTCAGGAGCAGAATGAGCTGTGCGCACACAATTAACTACAGGTACAGCCGAGGATGTGACTAAGACGCGCTTAGTCCAAAAAAGACCTGGGCGGTACCATCCTGAGCAAACGCTGAGCCAGCCTCGCACGTGCAGCCTCGCGGATGCGCAGTGGGACTGTCGAAACCGGGCCAATTTCTGGGGAGGCCACCGAAGAAACGCCGGCCCAGATGAGCGAGGCGAGGCGTCTTAATGAGCGGCGCAGCTGCATGGGCCTCCAAACCAAGGAACCGCAGCAACACTGCAGTCACCGCTGCAGACTGCTGCCCCGTCCTCGTCCTCTCCTCCAGATCCGCTGCACTCGCGCCCCCCGGGGGCGCGACGTGCGATTCAGGACTGCCGTCGCACCTCCCTCGACGACGACTGGCACGGGGGAGGAGGGAGGGAGGGAAGGAAAAGACAACGAGCGCGAGGCGCGATGCGCGATTTGACTCGCACCCCCACAGCGGAACTGGCCTTCTCCTCATCCGCATCCTCCTGCTCTTCCTCCGTCTCCTCCTCCTGCGGTGACCCTCAGCTTGCGGCCGTGGAGCTCCATGCCGTCTATCACCTGCAGTGAGGCAACGCACCCTGACCAGATCAAGCAGGACAAGTGCGGTGCTGTGGAGACTGGGCACGCCTGGACGCTTCCTCTCGAGGGCAGAACCCCCCGACCTGAGATTAACCCAGACAATCTCTGACAATTTCATTCGGAACCCCCATCCCGCTAACCTGGATCGCGGCGTCTGCGGTGAACGAGTCGTGGAAGTCGCAGAAGGCGTAGCCCTTCCGCTGGCCGGTGTCCCTGTCGCACACGAGCCTCTCACAATGATCGGTTGGCTACCCTCAGGGACAAGGCGGGCCCGGGCACAACCAAACAACCAAACACACATGATTACCAACAGTGATTGTTTCTCGTGGCGCTGAGTACACCGCATCCAGCCCTGGCCAGGCCCTTCCAGGGGTCTGGACTGATGCAAATACCCTCCTGGCCTCGGCAAGGGACGAGGATCGACCTGGCCATCGCTGGTGGCCTGTAGCTGCAGATTTCGGATGGAGGGTATAGTGGGCCCGTGGCTCTATAGGGTTGCCAACGCGGCCCAAGGGCCTCAGCTGCTTCACGATTCCGACGTTGTCGACGCGCTCCCTCAGCTCCGCCTCCGTGGTTTCAAAGCTGAGGTTGCCTATGAAGATGCTGCAGCCTGCTCCCTCAACTCCGCCTCCGCTGTTGTCCTTCTTCTCGTGGATTTTCTCGACCGTGAGCTCGCCCTCACTCTCTCCCACTTCCGCCTTCGCCTCCCCCCTTGGCAGCCGATTCGTTGGCGGCCCGAGGGGCAGCAAAAATCAGCCGACAACTGACCATGCTCATTGTGGTTATCTAGACGACGTGAGGCCAAGTGGCCTGTACTCACGATGGCTCAACGACGCGGGGCTCCTGCCTTCATCCTCTTCTCGTGGGCGGGAAACGAATCCACATCCACGGCCTCGCGGAGCCACGACCACATGGACACGGAGCGTTCTGTTCGCGGACGCCCCGCGCGGGACGTGCCCGTGCGACCGCGCATCCATCGGACAGCCCCCCGGAATCCAGACCGCGAGGGCGTGGATGTGGATGCGTGTCTGCCGCTCGTGATCCTCCCCTCTCCCCATCCAACTCACACCTTTGAAGGGGCCCAGGGACACACAAATAAATACACACAAATAAAAGGATTCCCCATACTTTTCCATACTTTTTGGACTTTCGTCTCCCCCCCACTTCCCATATTTTCGCATATTTTCCTGGGGATCGACGATTAATTGTGTCTGTGTGTTTTTTTCCCTCCTGAACCTTGGCCACCAGGGCGTGGACGGCCTTCCAGGCGCCCCCCTGCGTGCCGTACTCCGCTTCGGCGCTCCGCCCGTCCTGGGGGGGGGTGGGCCACGCACGCCCCGACGCCCGACGCCGCGGCGAGGCGCACGACCAGCGCCGCCGGCCACTCGCTCCACGCGGTGCGCGTCGAGGCGGCGGCTCGATAGGAGAAAGCGGCCGCAAGCGCTTCCACGCGGCGCCCCGGCAGTGCTCGGGGTGGTGGGGGGGGAGCGGCGGAGCGGCAGGGCCAGCACAGCGGCGAACATCGCGGGCGCGTAGGCTCCCAGAGGCCCACGGCACGCGCGCCTTCCCGCAAACGCTCCTCACGCGCGCACGGGCCCGCTCCCGCGCGACAGCTGAAGAGCACTCCGGCGAATGGCGGCCCACGAGACCAGGCGAGGACTCTCGCCGCTGGCCTCTCTGGGCCGCCAGGCGCGTCCAGCTGCGCTCACCGACGGTGCTGCCGTGCTGCCATGCCGGCGAAGTCCAATCTGGATCCCCAAAAGAAAAGCTCCGTGCCAACGTGGCCGGCGGCAGCACTGAGCCGTGCGCACCCTACGCCCACATCCTCCGGGCAATGGCGCGCAACCACGCCCGCACGCGGGCACCCGAAGCCTTCGCCCGTGACTTGCAGCTCGCTCTCCTCCTCCTCCTCCTCCTCCTCCTCCTCCTCCTCCTCCTCCTCCTCCTCCTTCCTCGTTCCTCCTTCCTCCTTCCTCCTCTCTCCTCCCCCCCCCTTCTCCTCCCTCCCCCCTCCTCCCCCTGCTCCTCCTCCGATTACTCCTCCATCCTCCCCCATCTTGCGCTGTGGCGGCTTCCGCAGCCCTTTAATCCAACTGCGTGCTTCTCCACACCACTGAGCAGGGCCACTCGCCTGGGCATCCGTTTCAGGATGGGCTGGTGGGGCTACGCGAGGCGTCTAGAGTAGGGCTGTGCCTACGCTGAAGGGGCATCGCCAGTACCCTGCGACCCTCTCCCCCTCCTCCCCTCCCCCTCCTTCCTCCCCCTCCTCCCTCCCCCCTCCCCCATCCCTCCTCCCCCCCCCTCCTGCCTGCGGGGGTGCCCTTCTCGGCGTGGGCGGGCCCTGCGGGCCCTGGCCCTCCCGCGCCGCGGGCGCCGCGGCGTCGGCGGCCGGGGCCTGCCGCGGAGGGGGGCCTGCGAGGCGCAGGGGGCCCCCCGACAGCAGAGCGCGCCGCGGCGGCGGCCCCCTGCGCCACGCCAGGCCCTGCGAGCGTCGTGGCGCGCCGCTCCGCTCCGCTCCGCTCCGCGCGGGGGCCGGGGAGCGGCTCGGGGCGTGGACGCCCGGGGGACCGGGCAGCGGAGAGCGCGTCGCGCCGACGCGCGGTGGGCCAGGACGGGCGGAGCGACACGCGACCCCAGAAGTTCTCGACCGAATGCGCCCGACCAGGTGCCCCCCCCCCAGTTCGCGAGGCCGCCACCATCTCACGGACACTCGCGCAGTGCACCATCCCGAAACCGATGGCAACCGATGTGCGCGTGCACGGCTTCGCTTCGCCCCTGCAGGTCAAGGCAAAAGCGGCTGGGGAAGAGCCCCCAATATGGTGAACGGTGGGCACGTGCGGGTGAGAGGTCTTGCAACGAATCCGAGGGTGGACAGAACCCCCACTGCGCCAAACACCCGTCAGGGAAAACGACCCGGGGCTTGACCCGGCGGTCGCAGGCTCGAGCCAATTGTGGCAGCAACACCCTCACGACAACCGAAGAGGGGGGGCAAATTGCCTTTCTGCTGGTCCTCCTCCTCCTCCTCCTCCTGCTTCTCCTCCTCCGATTTCTTCTGTTCCTTTTCCTCCTCCTCCTCCTCCTCCTCCTCCTCCTCCTTCCTCGTTCCTCCTTCCTCGTCCTCCTCCTCCCCCTCCTCCTCCTCCTCCTCCTCCTCCTCCTCCTATTCTCATCCTCCTCCTCCTCCTCCTCCTCCTCCTCCTCCTGCGCTCCTCATCCTCCTCCTCTCCTCCTCCTGCGCTCCTCCTCCTCCTTCCTCCTTCCTCCTCTCTCCTCCCCCCCCTCCTCCTCCCTCCCCCCTCCTCCCCCTGCTCCTCCTCCGATTACTCCTCCATCCTCCCCCATCTTGCGCTGTGGCGGCTTCCGCAGCCCTTTAATCCAACTGCGTACTTCTCCACATCACTGAGCAGGGCCACTCTCCTGGGCATCCGTTTCAGGATGGGCTGGTGGGGCTACGCGAGGCGTCTGGAGTAGGGCTGTGCCTACGCTGAAGGGGCATCGCCAGTACCCTGCGACCCTCTCCCCCTCCTCCTCCCCCTCCCTTCCCTCCTCCCCCCTCCTCCCCCCTCCTCTCCTGCCTGCGGGTGGTGCCCTCCTCCCCCACCCTCCCCCTCCTTCCTCCCCCTCCTCCCCCCCCCTCCCCCATCCCTCCTCCCCCCCCCTCCTGCCTGCGGGGGTGCCCTTCTCGGCGCGGGCGGGCCCTGCGGGCCCTGGCCCTCCCGCGCCGCGGGCGCCGCGGCGTCGGCGGCCGGGGCCTGCCGCGGAGGGGGGCCTGCGAGGCGCAGGGGGCCCCCCGACAGCAGAGCGCGCCGCGGCGGCGGCCCCCTGCGCCACGCCAGGCCCTGCGAGCGTCGTGGCGCGCCGCTCCGCTCCGCTCCGCTCCGCGCGGGGGCCGGGGAGCGGCTCGGGGCGTGGACGCCCGTGGGACCGGGCAGCGGAGAGCGCGTCGCGCCGACGCGCGGTGGGCCAGGACGGGCGGAGCGACACGCGACCCCAGAAGTTCCCGACCGAACGCGCCCGACCAGGTGCCCCCCCCCCCCAGTTCGCGAGGCCGCCACCATCTCACGGACACTCGCGCAGTGCACCATCCCGAAACCGATGGCAACCGATGTGCGCGTGCACGGCTTCGCTTCGCCCCTGCAGGTCAAGGCAAAAGCGGCTGGGGAAGAGCCCCCAACATGGTGAACGGTGGGCACGTGCGGGTGAGAGGTCTTGCAACGAATCCGAGGGTGGACAGAACCCCCACTGCGCCAAACACCCGTCAGGGAAAACGACCCGGGGCTTGACCCGGCGGTCGCAGGCTCGAGCCAATTGTGGCAGCAACACCCTCACGACAACCGAAGAGGGGGGGCAAATTGCCTTTCTGCTGGTCCTCCTCCTCCTCCTCCTGCTTCTCCTCCTCCGATTTCTTCTGTTCCTTTTCCTCCTCCTCCTCCTCCTCCTCCTCCTTCCTCGTTCCTCCTTCCTCGTTCCTCCTTCCTCGTTCCTCCTTCCTCCTCCTCCTCCTCCTCCTCCTCCTCCTCCGTCCTCCTCCTCTCTCCTCCCTCCTCCTCCCCTCCCCCTCCCCCTCCGACTCCTCCTCCCTCCTCTCCTCCTCCTCTCCTCCTCCTCCTGCCTCCTCCTCCTCCTCCTCCTCCTCTCTTCCTCCCTCCTCCTCACGCCTACTCCTCCTCGCTCGCTCCTCCTCCTCCTCCTCCGTCCTCCTCCTCCTCCTCCTCCTCCTCCTCCTCCTCCCCCCTCCTCCCTTCCTCCGCCCTCCCCCCTCCCCTCCCCCTGCTCCCTCCTCCGATTACTCCTCCATCCTCCCCCATCTTGCGCTGTGGCGGCTTCCGCAGCCCTTTAATCCAACTGCGTACTTCTCCACATCACTGAGCAGGGCCACTCTCCTGGGCATCCGTTTCAGGATGGGCTGGTGGGGCTACGCGAGGCGTCTGGAGTAGGGCTGTGCCTACGCTGAAGGGGCATCGCCAGTACCCTGCGACCCTCTCCCCCTCCTCCTCCCCCTCCCTTCCCTCCTCCCCCCTCCTCCCCCCTCCTCTCCTGCCTGCGGGGGGGGCCCTCTCCCCCCCTCCCTCCACTCCTCCCCTCCCCCCTCCTCCCCCCTCCCCTCCCCCATCCCTCCTCCCCCCCCCCTCCTGCCTGCGGGGGTGCCCTTCTCGGCGCGGGCGGGCCCTGCGGGCCCTGGCCCTCCCGCGCCGCGGGCGCCGCGGCGTCGGCGGCCGGGGCCTCCCGCGGAGGGGGGCCTGCGAGGCGCAGGGGGCCCCGCGACAGCAGAGCGCGCCGCGGCGGCGGCCCCCTGCGCCACGCCAGGCCCTGCGAGCGTCGTGGCGCGCCGCTCCGCTCCGCTCCGCTCCGCGCGGGGGCCGGGGAGCGGCTCGGGGCGTGGACGCCCGGGGGACCGGGCAGCGGAGAGCGCGTCGCGCCGACGCGCGGTGGGCCAGGACGGGCGGAGCGACACGCGACCCCAGAAGTTCCCGACCGAACGCGCCCGACCAGGTGCCCCCCCCCCCCAGTTCGCGAGGCCGCCACCATCTCACGGACACTCGCGCAGTGCACCATCCCGAAACCGATGGCAACCGATGTGCGCGTGCACGGCTTCGCTTCGCCCCTGCAGGTCAAGGCAAAAGCGGCTGGGGAAGAGCCCCCAACATGGTGAACGGTGGGCACGTGCGGTGAGAGGTCTTGCAACGAATCCGGGGGTGGACAGAACCCCCCCTGCGCCAAACACCCGTCAGGGAAAACGACCCGGGGCTTGATCCAGCGGTCGCAGGCTAATTGTGGCAGCAACACCCTCACGACAACCGAAGGCTGGCAATTCGCTAAATCGAATCGGCAAGGTGGGTACTGAGGAGTCTTGGGACTTCTGTGCTGGTCTACTGAACCATCGAGAGGCCAAGGCATCTCCATAGGGCGCCGGCTGCCAGGCATTACTGTCGACTGTGCAACAGCAGCAGCAGCAAAGCATCTGGTAGCCCTGCGACAATACGGAGGCAGGCGCAGTTGCCGTGGGGGTGCCTCGTCTGGGAGGACGCGGTGGCGGAGGCGGAGGTAGATAGGAGGAGCTGGAGGAGAGAGAGGAGGAGGAGGAGGAGGAGAAGGAGGAGGAGGAGGAGGAGGAAGATGAGGAGGAGGAGGATAAGGAGGATAAGGAGGATAAGGAGAAGGAGAAGGAGGAGGAGGAGGAGGAGGAGGGCTCCTCATCCTCATATGGCAACAATGAAACGGACGGGCGTTCTCCTCGCTGCTCGGGACCTCTGGGAGTCGCCCTTCGGGTCCCAATGTTTGTCTCAACACAACGCACCCCACCCAAACACAGTTTATATGAGCCCTCAGGTCCGGTATGCGTCAGAGCCGAAGGAGGAGGAGGAGGAGGAGGAGGAGGAGGGGGAGGAGGAGGAGGAGGAGAGGGCCAAACAAATGTCGAGTCAGTTCTTATGGCGGCGTGCGTACAGCGCCATGGACTACCCCACCGCCTCGCACACCTATGCAACACGAGTAACCCTTCGGGCCCCAAGGGGGCCATCGAAAGCCGGCCCATGCCGCAACGTCTGGCCGCGGGGATGGGGTTTCGGGTCCTCCTCCCCCCATCCGCCCTCCCTACCTCCTCGGTCCCTCATTTTCCCTCTGGTCCTGTACCTTCCTCCATCCGTCCCTCCTCCCTCGTGCCTCATCCCTGCCTCCCCCTCCCCCCCTCCTCCATCTCCATCCTCCTCCTTCTCCTCTTCTCCCCCGTCCTCCTCCTCCTCCCCCTCCCCCTCCTCCTCCTTTTCCTCCTCCTCCTCTCTTCTTCCTCCTCCTCTTCCTCCAGCTCCTCCTCCTCCTCCTCCTGCTCCTCCTGCTCCTCCTCCTCCTTCTCCTCCTCCTCCTCCTCCTCCTCCTCCTCCTCCTCCTCCTCTTCCTCCTCATCCCACTCCTGATCTTCGAGAGAGCGTGATCCACAACCACTCTACTGTGGAACATTCCCCCCCTCTTCCTCTGGAGCCCGGGGGTCTACCCCCCCCTCCGAAAATCCCCCCCCCCTGCTGGACCCCCCCCCCTCCCTTTCCCTCCTGGCAAAACCTCCCTCCTCCCGTACCCCCCCCCTCCGGAAAACCAGAGAGGGGATCACTAACCCCCCCCCATCGGAAAACGGGGGGGGGGGTCACTACCGGTTCGAACCCCTCGCCCCCCCCCAGAAAACCAGAAAGGGGATCACTACCGGATCGACCCCCCCCCGTCGAAAACCGGGAGGGGGGGTCACTACCGGTTCGAACCCCCCCCCTTTCGAAAACCGGGGGGGGGAACTACCGGTTCGACCCCCCCCCCTCTCGAAAAGCGGGGGGGGGGAGCATGCTACGCATGGAATGAATTCAGTGGAAAAAACCACCCATGGGTGGATCAATCTAGACTGATGAAGCCATGATGCCTCTTTTGATTTTGAGCCGGCTATGATGCCCGCTCGTGCCCACCCCGTCCCGTCTTCAGGGACTTCGCATCCCCCTGTGATGGTAAGATGGGAGGACGGGCCGCCGCCCCTGGCACTGCACGTGCGGCGCCAGGTTTGTGGGGATTTGGTTCGACCCCCGCAGTTCCAATGATGGAAACTGCGAAGGGCGTGAGGCCTCATGGTGGTCCTCACTGCTGAGGCCTATGATGGTCCTCGCCGGGGGGGAGAGGGCAAAGGCGGACGTCCATCAACAACGTCCGTCGTGCTCATCCTCCGTGAATTGCAGCGTGACCACACTCGTGAATCAGAAGACCGTGACATTCAAGGGCACGACCCGACCTATGATTGCGGACTCCGTGAAGCGCACCGTGACCACGCTCATGACCACGAAAACCGTAACATTCACAAGCACGACTCGACCTATGATTGCGGACTCCGTGACATGCACTGTGATCGCGCTCATGATCACGAAGACCGTGAAATACACGAGCACGACACGTCCTATGCTTGTGGATTCCGTGAAATGCCCTGTGACCAAACTCATGAATAAAAAGAACGTGACATTCACGAGCACGACCCGACCTACCATTGCGGACTTTCTGAAATGCACCGTGAAAACACCCATGATCACGGAAACCGTGCAATTACGAGCACGACCCGATCAAGGCCGAGGTGATGGCCGCACTGCCTGTATCGCGGCTCCGATGGTGTGGAGACCAGGAGGAGGAGGAGGAGGAGGAGGAGGAGGAGGAGGAGAAGGAGGAGGAGGAGGAGAAGGAGGAGGACGACGCGAAAGTTGACTTCAATGAACAAAGTGAGCGCGAAGGCCTATGATGGTCCTTCTTCCCGAAACGAGCCTTGCTGATGGCCCAGGATTGTGTGCGAGGTGCCTATGATGGCCCCTCTGGTTGCCTATGATGGCGGCACTAGACGACCGGCAGGGGACTGGGTCCCGTTCACGGTCCACTAGGGGAGAGCATGCTACGCATGGAATGAATTCAATGGACATTAATTGCAGAAGATCCGTGAGTGGATCAATCTAGACTGATGAGGCTATGATGCTTCTTTTGATCTGAGCCGGCTATGATGCCCGCTCGTGCCCACCCCGTCCCGTCTTCAGGGACTCCGCATCCCCCTGTGATGGTAAGATGGGAGGACGGGCCGCCGCCCCTGGCACTGCACGTGCGGTGCCAGGTTTGTGGGGATTTGGTTCGACCCCCGCATTTCCAATGATGGAAACTGCGAAGGGCGTGAGGCCTCATGGTGGTCCTCACTGGTGAGGCCTATGATGGTCCTCACCGGGGGGGAGAGGGCAAAGGCGGACGTCCA